GGTAGCGCAGGATTTATATCATCAACTGTAGTACTGCTGCTGCGGCTACTACTGCTGCTACGACGGCGACGACGACGACTACTACTTCTACTACAGCAGCTACTGCATCTGCTATTGGTACCACTGCGACCACGACGGCAGCTGCCAGTACTATAGCACTAGCCTACATTTGCTGCTTTGCTGCTACTACGACTGCCACCACTATTATGACTACTGCTGCTGCTATTGCCACGACTGCTGCTAGAGCTCTATCATCTTGACACTCCTGCAACTCGTAATGTTCATCTTCATGAATAACACGTGGGAAGCATCAGCAAAATCATCGGCATGCCTCCTGCTGCATGCAAACTCAAGCGGGGTCCTTGGTGATTGCTGCCCCTGCCACTTGACTATCGATTCTTACCCTGCACCTTGGTTGTCGATTTCTAGGGGATTGGCGAGGGAAAAGCCTGGGTTTGCTGCAAAAGTGTGTGGCGATGAATGTTTCGCTGTCATGCTGGAAGTGTCAATGAACGCGAGGTTCTCATGATCCATTGGTAGATCCAGAGAGACGGTTCGAAGATCTGTCCATGCCAAGGCAAGCAGGGGACGATGACGAAAGATGGCCCTAGTCCCTGGTTGTCTCTGCTTACCAAAAGCTGGGCTTTGCCAGGCGAGTCGCAGGAGACTTTCTCGGATCCAAATGGCTCAGCTCTTGCTTTGGGTTTCGAGGTTTTTTGCAGTATTAAAAGCAAGCCTAGCTAGCACCTGGGCAAAGTGAATGTTTCAGACTCCCGACTTGAAGCTATTCGGCTGCCTTCGCACTGAGGTTATCGTCATAACCATCAACATCATGCCAAGAATGCGGTTGTGCCGACCACTTCCCAACCGAATATGAATGAAAAACACCCTGTGCCAAGAGCAATGTATCTCCTGAGGGTTGCGTTGTAGCAGCTTGTCAGCCTGACCTTACGTCCCCTCCCGCCAGGAGGAGCAGAGCACGGGCCTCGACAAACTGGCGGACAACATCGTCCAGCTCGCCCAGTCTGGGCAGGACCCTGGAACGTGTCAGCGGGCCCCAAGTAACCCTCGAAGCCCCAGAATTCTTGCTACCTAGCCGAAACCAGCTCGTGGTTCATTGGGGGGTGCTAGGATCACTCGCCTGACACCTTAGATTAATTCCTCAGAAAAATGCGTGTTCGAGGCCGGAGCAACAGAAAGCATGGCACCAAAACTGTGCATGCTGACAGGCGGCCGATCCGAGCATGGCGGCCGCTCTGGAGAGCATCAAGCACTTCTGGTCGCAGTATGTGATTTTGCAGGTCTTGGGTTCTGGGTTTCGAATTTTCGGGTAATTGTTTAGCTAAGCTTTGCAGTTCGGGCAAATGGAGAGAGACTACGGTATCTATCCCTGTCCTGAGAGTCAAAAGCCTGGGCCCTGGCCTTTTCAAGGTTTGGGGTTTAGGGTTTAGGGAGCCTGGGCCACGGGGTTTGCAGACCTCCAGGACCTAATCCCAACGAGCTTAGACCTGGCGAGCATGAGCCTCAACTCCCATGCCCGGAAGCCTTAAATAAAAACCTGCGGCCGCGGTCCTGTGCTGTTGTTGTCGAGGATGTGGGTCAGCTCCCTCGGTTCAAGCATGTGGGGTTACAGACTTCATCCAATCCACCTTTCTTTCTAACTGTTCGTAAGATGTGACTGTATGCACACTGCATGTCGCACACGTGTGTGTGGATGTAAACTGTCTGTATGGATTCATGCATGTATGCATGCATAGATGGATGGATTGATGCAGGGATTTATGTGTATATGTATGTGTGCAAATGTACGTATGTATGTATGCATGCATGTATGCATGCATGTACGTATATGTGTGTATGCTTGTGTGTGTGTGTGTTTGTTTGTTTGTTTGTTTTGTTTGTTTGTTTGTTTGTTTTTTGTTTGTTGTTTGCTTATTTGTTTGTTTGTTTGCTTATTTTTGTTTGTTTGTTTTTCTTTGTTTGTTTGTGTTTTTTTGTTTGTTTGTTTGTGTGTTTGTTTGTTGTTTGCTTATTTGTATGTTTGTTTGCTTATTTTTGTTTGTTTGTTTTTCTTTGTTTGTTTGTGTGTTTTTTGTTTGTTTGTTTGTGTGTTTGTTTGTTTGTTTGTTTGTTTGTTTGTTTGTGTGTTTGTGTGTTTGTTTGTTTGTTTGTTTGTTTGTTTGTTGGTTTGTTGGTTTGTTTTGCTTGCTGGCTGGCTGGCTGGCTGGTTGGTTGCTTGTTTGGTTGCCTTGTTTGTTTGTTTGCTTGCTTGCTGGCTGGCTGGTTGGTTTGCTTGTTGGTGGTTTCGCTGGCTTGTTGGTTGCTTGGTTGCTTTGTGTGTTTGTCTTTTTTTGTGTTTCGTTCTTTGGTGTAGTGCTGGTGTGTTGACACGTAGTTATGTATGCATGCTTGCATGGATGTAGGGTTTAGGCTTTAGGGTTTAGGGCTTAGGGGGCCAGGCAGATCTTGAAAGACATGATGGAGGCAGTGACCACAGGCAACAAGGCAGCACAGGCCGCGATCTTCCAGAAGCAGGCCCATCGCTTGCCTGTTTCCGGACTCTTGCTAATACACTTAAGCTCGAGCTGCAATAAAAAGGAAAGCATGAGGAGCCTGCTATATACACCTACTATTACCACATGTGTTAAACTCAGTTCCTGAACAGAACCTCCAGATTTTGGCTCAACACCAAGACTGTAGGCCCTGCATTCCCGAGTGAAACCTATGGACTTCCAGGCTTCGTCCGTTCATTTCGACCTTTCATTTTCAACGCTCAAGATCCCAACATCCACGACAGTGCGCCAAGTAACTAGGCGGTGACTGTTCAAGCTGGCGGTGGCTAAACCATCATGCAGAGCCTGCAAGCGTGCATTCCGCCCCATCCCCTGACCCACAAAAAGATCTCCTCTCAGTTAGCGTCCGCGGTTGTGGAAAGATCTGTGAGTATGACCTTTCTGTTAGCACACATGGGACGTTAACAGGGCCGCTCATTCGACGGTCTCGAATTTGAATAAGCCCCTGCCGGGGCACTAAACCCTAAACCCCCAAACCCCAAAACCCTAGACCCTGCAATGCGGGCTCGTCCTTGCTAAGTGGGAGTGAAAAAAACCCCGAAACCCCAAAACCCTAAACCCTAAACACGGTAAAGCTTTCAACATGGGAAAAGGCCGCCGTGGCAGCATGCCAAGCGCCCAATGCCACCGACATGGCCGTGTTCAAGGCGAGTTGCGAAACCGTGGGTTTAGGGTTTAGGGAACAACAAGGTTCGTGTCGCAAGAGTTCGCAAGTTCAAGGGCAGGCGCTGGGTTTTTGTTGTTCCTACTGCACTGGTCTCAGTTTTATCATCATATCCTTGGTCTTGTTGCTATTACCGGTACTACGAGTGGAGTAATAGTTATGTTGGTCTGCCTCCAAGTACTTGTCTTAGCGCTTCCTCCCTGGTTTTCACGATCTTTGACCACAAGCCGCTTCGTTGTGGCTGCGTTTTGCAGCTTCAGGCAGGCCTTCGCGTGTCAGCCGGCGATGTGGTGTCGTGCCGGGCGGCCGAAAAGGCTTACTATGACAGGCACAGGCTTTGCTTGAATGGTCTGCTGTTCGAGGGCTCTTTCCAGACAGCACCTTATTGCTGGGCCCTGGGGACCTTCACGATAAACTTCAAGCTGCCTGGCTCTTGCCCAGTTCATGAACAATTACATTGTGATCTTACTCCCCAGCGACCGAAATCTCAACACATCTGTCTTCTTTGCACAGCCACGGTTTTCCAGACAGCTATCCGAAACCAGCTTAACTTTAGAGACCCTTCCAGGGTACCAAAAGCTAAGTCGGGTTCTTAAAGGAGGAGCCGTTTTTGCGAATTCTGTATTATATTATATTATATTATATTATATTATATTATATTATATTATATTATATTACATTATATTATATTATATTATATTATATTATATTATATTATATTAATAGTACAGTATATTATATTACATTATCTTATTATTACTATTATATTATTAATTATATTTTGCCTTCCAACTTGTCGCGCCGGACTGTGCAACCCAGGGGTCGAGGCCGAAGGGTAATATGGGTAGTTCTCTAAAGTAGGGTCCCTTTCTAGGTCCCCAATCTAGTATGGCACCCTTATAAAAAAAGGAGCGTAAAGGGACCCTAGTTTAGAGAGCTACCCATATAGTATCAATGTTTAATATCCTGTTCTACTTAGCCATGGAGCTCGGAATTCCTAAACCCTATGAACCATGTAAACCCATGAGGCCCTAAAGCCTAAGCATTCGCCTCAAACTCTACAAAAAATCGCGCTTTGATCCTTCCAGGGCTTAGGGGTTTAGGGTCCATGAGGTTTGAAGGTCCAGGATTTAGGGTTTAGGCTCAGGGCTTGGGGGTTGAGGGTTTAGGGGGTTTGGGGATTTATGGTTTAGGGTTCTGGTGAGTTGATACCTGGAGTTCCCAAACGACAGTACGCCTGCCAGGTATGAGCACTGCAAGGCAGAGGATGCCAGATGCTCCAACACCACCGAGTGTTCCCGTGCTGCATTCAAGGATTTTTGAGGTTTGGGTTGGGGGTGAGGTCAAATGTTTCCCAAGTTCCTGACACTTTGCAGAACCCTAACAGAACTCTCGTGATGAAACCGTAGAGAACCGAATAACATGTCTTGCCTGGCGTCCCATGCAGAGTGCGAGAAGGTCGTCTTGTAGCGTGTAACATTGAAATTGCGAAATCGCGCAGTTCTTGAGCCGTCAAGCTGGAGTACGGAGCTTCAGGGGTTGAGAGTTTAGCGTTTAGGGTTGAGGGTTTATAATTAGGGTTTAGGGGGTTCAGGGTGTGGGGTTTGGGAAGCTGTCCTGCTAAACCCTGAACACCCAAGCCGGGATGTCAACTCTGTGTTTCCTGCTTCCGAAGTTCGTCCGAGTGCAGAGTTTTAAAGAGCACTGCCAGGAATTTCCTGGATCTTCATGTATATGAATCTCTAGAATCTGTAGAAGATGGCGGGGCCAGAAACCCGAAACTCCAAACTCCGAAGAGTAGGCCCCAAATTCTGGATGCATCTGTCTTTCAGTTTCAGCCGACCTAAAAAGGTAGATTTCTGAAGTGGGCCCCTGTAAAAACAAAGTCGGTGGTCCCCATCTGTAGTAGTGGAGCAGGTAACCAGGTAACCTTTAACCTTTTTGGGGGTACTAGAATCCCGGTATATTCCCAGTCTTTTCCCAAAGGTTAATCTTTAGTTCCCCAGGATACTCGACAAGTAGGATCTATTTTGGCCCTAGGCTTCCAAGGACCTTGTAGTTAGGGCCCCAGACCTCTTAAGGACCCAATAATACTTCGGAGCCCAATAGGTAAACTTTAAACTTTTTTGGTATAGTAAACCCCTACTAAAAGAAAAGTTAAGTTTAAACTTTTTTGGGCCAGGGTACTGGGCAGCTAAGAAATAAGGTCCCTGGAAGCCTAGGGTTTAGGGATTTATCATCGTTTAGGGGCTCAGGGTCTCTAGTCTCCAGGTCCCCCGAAAAGTCTGTTGTTGAGGGTTTAGGCTTTACCTGGACCTCCGAAAGCATGTAGAATAATAGCCTTTTCTGGGTTTTGGGCCATTATTTTACCTACTTTTGGGGGTAAGGGTTTCGGGGCAAAGGGTTTAGAGTTTAGGGGTTTAGGGGCCAAGGGCTTGGGGGGTTAGGGTTACACTTTTTCGGGTTTTAAGGTTGTGCACTTGCCCGTGTAACTTTCCCGGCCGACATCTTTTGAGGTCTGTGGATGCATACGGCATACGGATACATGCAAGCGATTCCTAAACCCTAAAACCCTAAACCCTCAGGCTGCGCTCAGATTATCCAGCCCGATCCGTCCCTCGGCAGCTCTTGAGGACTTTCCACTTGCCCATAGGCCCCTAAGTAGTTCCTTTTTGGGATTACCTTATAGGATTCTAAATATAAGCCACAAAAAGGAACTACTTAGGGGCCTGTGGGTGTAGACCAGAGATGGGTTGATGTCAATCTGCCTTCCATCTCACGTTGCACTACACAGATTTGGGCACTCGCTTGCTCGTTCTCTCAGTTTCCTGGTGAGTTGATAGGTGTGTGCCGTCGACTTGCAGGCCTTGACTAAGAAGAGTTGGAAGTGTCTTCAATTTCGAAGCTTTTCCAAGCCTGCTGTGCTGGTGCCTCGGTGTAGAAGGCTGTGGGGCGATGCAGGGTTTGGAGTTGATTGGTTTAGGATGTCGGGGCTTGTTGCATTTTTCGAAATGTGGTCGTTCAACCTATGTCTCGTGTTGTCGAGTAGGGAAGCATCCATCCCCCTCAGCCGTATAGGTTAAGGGTTTCTGGTCTAGACCTCAATACAAGACCCGTAACCCGAAACCGAAATCTCTATCCTAGTCGCAAAGGAGGCACTTAACCTGGGTTCTTTTGGCGATACTATACAACCATATTCGGCAAGTGAGCTGCCGACTAGGCATTGCCTCGCTACGGTTGCGCCGCCCACGCCTTTCACGTTCACGTCCGACTGTGACGGGTGCCCGAAATGCATCGGGAAGGCGCCTGGGGGCTTGCCTTGTGGAGATACGGTTGATGATACATATACATATACATATATATATATAATCCTGCATGACCCATAATAAGGAATACACCATAATTCCCATAGTTTAGGCCCTTAAGGTAATGCAGGGTTTACATCATCAACAGTACTTCTAACCCTGCTGTAAATCCTTAAACCCCCGAGCTCTAAGTTGGGCTGCTTCGGTTGCATTTGGAAAAAGCGTTCAAAGCACAATCAGTCGACGCTTAGTGTTTAGGGCTTATCGTACGCAGGGTAGCGTTTCCGACAGGGTTCAGGTTTAAACGATCCAGGCCCTCCCGGCGAGTCCAACATGACCACATCACCATGTGCGCTAAGGGTCCGTGGACACGCTGGGGTAGTGGTAGCAATCATGTTTCTCTTAGGGTGGTTACGTTATGACCTCAGTGCGTCTTATCTGACGCCGACGTGGCAACTGCCTTAATGTCTGATTCGAAGTCTTGCAGGATAGGAGTTAGCACCGCAATTGCTAAAGGAAGCTGCAAGCTGCCCCTGGCATGCCTTGCTGTGCCAGAAGACTGATGTGGAGCTTCGTGCTGGCAGACGAAGAGTTCTGTGACAACAAGCTTCCCAAGAAAGACCACAGCAAGCGAGAGAGAGGACAGCAGAAACCCTGTCTCCCATGTCTGGTCGCCGAGCCTTGAAAGGCAATCCCGGGTCTTGGTCGACTTTTGTATCTGATGCTTGGGTGTTACCTGCGCTTCGTGCTGAGTTTCCAGCCTTCCACCGCAGCGTGTAAACTCCAGACGTGGCACCGCCGCAGCACGTGCAAACTCCAGATGCCGGCCCATATGAACAAGGACGGTAGCCGCCCTTGCCCCTGATGTACTGCGAGAATCCAGTTTGCGTGTCAGGTATGCCATCCAAGCTTTGCTGGTGGCTTCCCCTGGTTCTGATAAAGCTGTCAATGCCTCACTGTGTTTGTGTGCTCATGGGCCCCCGTGGCTTGCATCGTACTTTGGGAAACTTTCAAACTGGATTTTGTTTCGGTACTCAGTGGCTCCCTCGTGCCACAGTCGGGAGACGGGAGCTCTTCGAGTCTTAGTGATATTCGAAGGCACGCACACACACAGATATATATATATATATACACATATGTATATATATATATATAGAGAAAAATATGTTTTTTCTATATCGACGCTTGTTCATTGGCTCACTTGACGACGTAGATCAAGTTGCCTATGCTTCTCGATGCCATGCCGCCACTTCACTTAGGACCTAGTAACGCGTACAGCAAACGACAGCATTCCGAATCCCAATGTCTACGACGATTCGAGACAGCGCTCCCGTCCCAACACGGTTGTGGAGCGTTGCCAAGTTGCTACTGCATGTGCTTGGTGGAAGAGTCGTTTGTGTGTTGAAAGTTACCCAAGCAATAACGTCTGTCTGCTTCGCTACGGTGACAATTTGCACAATACTGGTTCTTTGTCCTCGTTGCACGCCAGAGTTGCGGTCATTCCACAGCTAGTGCTAGTGCCGCTTGTGTGATCTATCATGGCGTTCTGACCTCTAAACTCCCTGAACCTTGCGTAACGTCGGCCAGACCCTCGAAGCCAAGCTGGGCTACTTCAAAAACAAGTTGACCTTCGGATGCACTCATGAGAAGATACATGTTAGAAGCAGCTGGCTTGGGGCTGGCAGGGCTTGTCAGGGATGACAGGGATAAGGATTTGGTTGCACGTGCCCTGCCCAGGTGTTTCTGCAGGTTTAGGTTTGTTGGGGGTACAGTGCAGGCGTTCGGGATTAGGATGTTTCCCCAAAGCCCGGAACACTAAACCCTAGAGCCTCAACACCTACAGGCAAACACAAGCTTCATTAATCCTAAGCTGAGCGCACGCTGAACAACAAACTCACACCCCAAGCCCTGGAAAGACCATTGGAACCTTAGAGAAAAGGAGCCGGGAAAAAGGTATCATCCTAATCGAGGCGAGGTCTTCAAGTACGCCCTGGAAA